CAACCGCAGTGCTCAGCATATAGTGCACGCCTTCCAGTGCTTCTGCATGCGAGTGACAGCTGAGCCCGCCTTTCAGCAGCGGGCCATCGCCTTGGACAGAGAGCCTTTGTGCAGACCACCATGGCTGTAGAGACACCGTGAGGGGGATGGCACCCATCTGTCCTCCTCTCCTCTCGTCTCCTCCTCCTCTCCTCGTCCTCCTCCCTCTCAGCGCATCCAGGTTGGTCTCCAGCCAGTAATAGGGGGGGTCGAGCTTCAGATCTGGGGAGCCATGGAGCTCCAAGGGTGGCAGAGGCCGTTTCATCAGTAGCCACCGGGACACACGGCTGAGAAAGGCCCCCCGCACCCAGCGGGGCATATTGTGGGTGCGGGGGGAGCGGTGGTGGACATTGAGGACGAAGACCGTGATGACGATGGACAGGGTGACGAAGATCATGGTGAAGAGCAGGTATTCGCCGATGAGCGGGATGACCAGGGAGGTGGAGGGGATGATCTCGGTGATGAGCAGGAGGAAGACAGTGAGCGAGAGCAGCACGGAAATGCACAGGGTGATCTTTTCCCCGCAGTCGGAGGGCAGGTAGAAGACCAGCACGGTCAGGAAGGAGATGAGCAGGCAGGGGATGATGAGGTTGATGGTGTAGAAGAGGGGCAGGCGCCGGATGACGAAGTAGTAGGTGACGTCGGGGTAGATCTCGGCGCAGCAGTCGTACTTCTTGGTGTTGTAGGTGCCCGTGGCGTTGACGATGGCCCACTCGCCACTCTCCCAGTAGTCCTTCAGGTCCACCGTCTGCTCCATCGGCTGCAGGTCGATCTTGGCCTTGTCATACGACCAGGAGCCGAACTTCATCTTGCAGTTCTGCTGGTCGAAGGGGAAGAAGGTGACGTCGATGCTGCAGGAGCTCTTGTAGATGGCGGGGGGCACCCAGTGCACGGTGCCCGTGGAGAAGAGGTGGGCCTTGGTCATGTGGTTCACCACAAACTCCCCATCTGCACTGAGGAGGAGAGAGGAGTTGGAGGGCCTGGCACACCCCACCTGCCCGAACCAGGCTGCAGCAGGGGGACCCCGACCACAAAGCCAGACTTGACCAAGTTATTGGGTTTTAAGCCAGTGTGTGAGACTCCCCAAGCACACGGCCATTTATAGCTACTGCAGTTGTCTTTTCAAGCAACATTTTTTAACACTACAAAGCAGAAATATTGAAGAATATAAAATTCCAAGAATGTCAAAAACAGCCACTATTCACATTCTGATGTTATATCCTATATAATAAAGAGCTAGTATGCTAATTAGACGGAACAGCAGAATGACTGCCCAGATGAAGCTGGGGCTGCGAGGGGCTGCGAGGGCCTACTCTTGCATGAATTTTGTGCATCGGGCCTCTAATATATATATATTTGATTGCCCTATAGATCATATATATATTATGTGTTTATGGGGTAGTGTAGCTTGATTTTTCTGTTTGTATTTATTTACTAGTTTAAAGTGATTATTTATGAGTGCATTTTCTCCCCCCAGCAAATGGTAAGGCTCTCCACTGGGGGTCACGCCTTGTCCACCTGGGATCCTTAGTACCTTGCTGAGAAGAGACCCAACATCTTTGCTAGTAAAGGAAGGTAATGCCTTGATGCCATCCATTTACTGTGCATTTCTGAGCCAGCCTCATCCACTAGGAGGACACAGTGTGAGACTCAGCCTGCCCTGAAGGAAGCAGGAGGAAATAGGACACAGCCCCAAACACCCACCACCCAAGGGAGGCAGTCTGACAGCAGCGCTCCGAGGGCTGTCTGAGCTCTCCTCAAGAACTGGGGTGGGGGTGGGGGGACGACTTGCTTCTGGCTGGAGCGAGCACTTCTGGCTAGAACGAGCACTTCTGGCTGGAGTGAGCAGGGTCACCATGAGAATTGCCATTTGAGCAAGGCCTTGACTAATGATAGGACTTGGTGGGGAGATGAGGTGGAGAAGGTCCCAGCAGAGCATCCTCCAGAACAAGGAACAGGAAGGGAAGCAGAAAATTCACGGGGTGTGCCTGGATTGGAGGGGCAGGGCCTGCTGAGTCATGGAGCTAGGCATCTAAGGGCCACAGGGGTTCTGGGCACACTGGAATTGGGTGCCTGAACCCCTGACTCCCTCTAGGAGATGACGCAGTGTTCTGCTCCCTAGTCCTCCATAATAAAAGCATAGTATGCAAATTATTCCCTCCACTGGGAGTTCGACCAGGGGGCAGGTAGAAGGGAGGGAGTACCCTGCTGGCAGCCAGCAGCCTCTAGGGACCCTACCAATGCATGAATTTTGTGCACTGGGCCTTTAGTCTTTAATAATTCTCAAGGTCAATCCTAAAGGCAGGAGAACCAGAACATGCAGGAAGAGACTTCTTTCCCATGGAGTCATTCCAAGCTAGAGATTAGAAAACGGGAACCTTTTAAAGAAAATGCTGGCCCAGCCAGTGGCGTGGCTCAGTGGCTGAATGTTGCCTATGAACCAGGAGGTCACAGTCTGATTCCCTGTCAGGTCACATACTGGGGTTGCAGGCTTGAGCCAATAGTGTGGGGCGTGCAGGAGACAGCTGATCAATTATTCTCTCTCATCATTGATATTTCTATCTCTCTCTCCCTTCCTCTCTGAAATCAATAAAAAATTGTATTTTTAAAGAAAACGCTGGAAACTTTGAAAGAGAATCCCAGATCAGGCAAAAGTTAAAAAAAATTTTTTTTAAAGGCATTGTGTCATCACACATAATCACCACTAGATGGCCACATGCGCCCTGTTTTGAGGAAGAAGAGTGCTATGTCTTGGATCTTCCTGTAAACCTGGAATGGGGTGATAGGGTGGAGGACATCCTTCTTCAAATATAAGAATTTGGTTTGCAGTTTTGTCCTGTCGTAAGAATTACCTGTTACATTCAAGTAACACTGCCCAAAGCCTGACTGGCCATCCTACAACTCCAGGGCATCTGGGATGCTAAGGACTTTGCTTCTGACTTGTGCCAGAAGCACAGTAAGCTGAACGTAGGTGGATCTTGGCTTCAGGACACAGAGATATGGGGTGAGGTGTCCGGTGGCAGCAGCAGGCCCTGGGCACCTGCGGTGTTGACCTCCCAGTAAACCATGCTGACAGTTTACGGAAATGGCTCCACTGAGAGGGAACCCTTGTGGCTCCCCCTCTGACCCAGCCGGAGGCACCCAAACTCCAAAAGTCTATCTTTTCCCTTTGTCTTGTTGTTTTAAAAAACGGCTTTTCCAAATTTGGGTCAAATGAATCGGGAGATGCTGGGCTGAATTGGTTTTTTGGCTGCACAACTTCTAATTGGAAACGCTACTGTGTTTCCCAGAGGACCGGGAGGGTCCACGGCTGCAGTGTTATCCAGAATGATTTGACCACAGGACCATTTTTTCATGTCTACTCATATCCCCAGGATTTCCTAGAGCCCCACTTTAGACAACATTTCAGATGAACATAATGCCAAATACCTTTTAACTTTAAACGCTAGACTTCTAAATGAAGAACTACCTGCGACCAAACACCATTTCTCCTTCCCCTCCTCTGTTGCCTGGCTCTCTAGAGACC